TTTTCCTTGAAAAGTAATTTAATTGTGGATGACACTAACTCTACGAGAGGAAGAGTTAGTGATTGATATTGGAATGTTTGAATCCTTATTGGATTTGAGTTGGAATATATCAATCATTGATGATTCTTCTTATGTTTGTTATGAAGTGACTTACATCTTGCTATAAATGGATTCATGGAGGATTGTTTAGTGATCACTTGTTGAGCATAGCTCCATTGTGTTTGGCTTTTGGATTGATGTAAATATGTTTTTCATTAGCTTTGCATTATGAAGTTTAGCTTATGGATGTGTTGAGGAGAATGTTGTGGGTTATACCATGATTTCTTTTTTAACATTGAAGTTGGTTCATGCAAAACTCGTGATCATTATTAAGCAAAACTTGGTTATAAGTTTCTTTGAGCTTTTGGTTCCTTGAGTTTTTATGCTCATTGTTCCATTTGTTAAAAGTTGTTGGGGAAGGCATTTTGACTCATTAGTTTCGATGTTGAAGTAGCTTTTGCATCTATCAATCATTAGTGATGATTGACTATCATCTAGGATAGTTGATTATCCTTGTCAAAAGATTTTGCTTGATTATTGTTGTTACAGAATGATTCGCTGTTCTTCAGGATGGTGGATTTCTTCTTTGACGATGATTCTATATATCTCTTTTGATGGGATGATTGATAATCTTTCATGATGGTTAGTTATTCTCTTTGATAGTTTATGGTTTTTTGCAATACCATATATTCTTTATGGTTTGCTCTGGATTAGTCTCTATTGGGTTTGAGACATCAAATAAGATGTTGCTGGCATTTGATTAGACAACTCTGGTTCCTTCGTATTGTTGACTGGGATCTATTCAGATTGACTAATATGGTGGTTGGCATGACTAAGTGTTTGTTGGTCTTACCACATTCATTCTGCTCTATTGATTGTTGCTCAAGTTAGTTTTGATAGATTAGGATATTATTTCTTTCGGGTGATATATTCGCGAGTATTGTGTTTGACAGTTAATGATACTTTGTGTTCTTTGAGTTATCTTTGGTAAGTTGTTTGGCATACTGTCTACAATTTTCGATAGTTAAGTTTTCTCATTGAGTTTTTTTGATGATACACTTGCTATTGAATTTTGTTGGATGGTGAATTCTATGTTTTCCAATGATAGTGATCTTGGTGGTTTCTATGCTCTATTACTAGTTTATCGGATGATAACATACTTGGAATACTTTTGTGTTCTAATCTAAGATTTATTCACTAATAATTCCGACTCTAAGATATTATTGTCTAATGACTTTGATATTGTCCATCTATTGATCTTTGAGTTTGGGCTAGTATATGCAAATTGGCTTCGGCACTTCATATGCATGGTGAAATCTCTAATCATAGGGTAGCTACTGTCAACTGGTCACATCACCCGCCTCTCTCCTTATTTCGTTAAAAAAGTGTGACTATATAAACAACTCTAACTACCTGTTTACAGTAATCTATCTAAACTTTACTGACGGGTTTGGTTTCTTTGCTCAAGAGGGCTAGGGCCTCTAGCTTCTCTCTCTATGTCCTTCCGAATAAGGTGTATCACACTTTTGTAAGCTGGGTGACACCCAGAGTAGCAAGGGTGGCTAACTTTGTTGGTCATTTCCTTGTCGGCGACAGCTGGAAAGTATCTGAGTTGGTAGTGCATCCGTGTTAGACAAAGAGGTTATCTTAACTCATTTAAGTTGGTGCATTTCTCACATAGTGTGATCACCATAAACTTTTTCTAGAGTTGTTTCCTTGCCAGTGGTCTAGACTCAAGTATACATCGACGAAGACATCGATCTTCCCTAAGGGGGGGGAGAGTGTCGTGAATGTGACTTTGGGTATCGAAAGTTATTTATCGGCTAATCCTTTCGGATATTCTTTCTTTACTGCCACGATGGCATGAGGTTGGTATTGCTGGACCCGTTATTAATCTCCACCTAAGCTAGTTGAGAAACTGGTCTTCGCGTGTGTACTTAACCGATGAGCATAAGAACGGAATTCCTAAGTGCTATTAGTCAAGCATACTTGACCTGGTTAGAGAAACTCATTCGTTGACTTGCACTTACTAGTGTTGGGAACCCCTGCGATATTGAGCTTAGTCCCTCAATATTTGCAAGATGATAGCTTACCGTGTCTACCAAACACCCTCGCTATCATGCCTTTTGTGTTAGTCTCATTCTGGTCCCAAATGCTATTTATGAAAAGTGTCTAGATTCACTGATTTAGCATATTTATGGAATGTAGAGATTATCTTGAACACAATGGTGTTCGTTCCGTGTCCAAATTCGCAATCTAAGAACATTCCATATTTAGTAAGTTTCAAGCTTATCCCCCAGAGACTAACTCCTGTGGGGTGAAAGTCCAAAGCATGTGTTCCTCAAGGGGTGGGGTTCTAAATGTATAATAGGGATAGTGGGTAGATCAGCATGGCCAATCAACCTGAGGTATAGCCTAGCTCTCGTTTGCGTTCCTATCTTTGTTCTGCGTCTGGCTTGGGTCTAAGCCCAAGTTCCACACTATGCTAGCTGGTGAAGTACCTATATCCTCGATTAGGCCACCGGTATGTTGAAATAGTGCCAAACTCCTTTTGTCTTTATTTTATGTGTTAGTTCTGGCATTGGGATGTTGGATACTCTAGGACTATTCCAAGTTGTTTCATGCTCTTGCCCCTTTGCTCCTTAGGCTAAATGCTCGGGAGTCGTTCTGTACTCCAGTGCCATTGCTCCTTGGCTCCATGCTTTCGAGTTTGGCATCGTTCCTTCATTCAGTGGCCCAAGGCTTTGAAACTCAGGTTCCACACCACTGTCTTTTGGACACGTGGCATGTGACACATGGCATATAACATGTAGCACATGGAGGGTTTAGGTTCCACTTTGTGGTTATCCTATGGTAAATCACCATAGGATAAAGGGTAAAAACCACATGCACTACAACACCCTTGTGATATACATATACTAAAGAGATGGCAAATAATTATCTCAATCCGAATGCTGAAAGTTCAAATACTTTGCGATCATCCCTTTGAAGGTCTAAATAAAACCATCTGACTGTGGATGATGAGCATTTGTGAAAGTGTGGCATATCCCCAATCGATATGTTAAAATGTGAAAATACCTCAACCATAAATGTAAGACTATTATTCAAAAGAATTCACTTTGGATAGGAATGTTAGAGCACCACTCGATTGAAGGGGAAGTATCTAACAGTAGTTGCAAATACACTAATAAGAACTCTAATTTCCACCTAATGAGTTAAGTAATTAGAAACAATAATGATATACTCATTGCCAACAGTTGACTGTGGAAAAGGCCCCATCATATAAAATGCCACCAACTCAAATAAATAGAAAATTGTAATTAACTTCAACCTTCCTTTTGTAACACAAGTGAGAGTATTACGAGTTTGGCACTAAATACAGTTATATAAAGACTGAATAACATCATGTTGCATCTTCAATCAATAGAAAGACTTATGTAACTCCTTAGTCATATAATGATGTCCCATATGCCTACATAGAATAAAAAAATCATAATAAGTGTGGAAAAAATATGAAATAAAGACTGAAAGCACCACCAGCCATAATAATTATCAGAATCCATCCTTATAAAATAAAGAAGGTCATCTTCAAGACACCAAAACTCTTAGATAATTTAAACCAACTTTAGAATGTGCACCATGTTAATATCATTAAATAATTTGCTGCACATGCATGCAGCAATGCTCATAGCAAAGAATACTGTACACATTTGTCCACCACATCGCTGGCTCTAATAAAGAAACACTGGAATAAAAAAAGCAGAGTCAAACATCTGGAACATCTCTAGTAAGTTTGATATCTTTTAGAGCAGGAGGGCTTTGATACCACAACAAATCCTCACATATCAGGTTACCTTGCCCTCGCACCAAAACAGCAAGGTTAAAGAAAATCTTATGCACTTCTCCTATTTGATTTTGGATCTCTCTCTCTCGTTCCTCGATGATGGCTTCATTGAATATGAGGTCGTTCTCCAGACGCAAAACATCTTGCCTGGATCAATCAGCCAGTTCAGAGATGAAGGAAGAATGGACGGAGGGTGGATACGCTTCTTCCCATTCGGCACCTTTCTTCTGGACTGCTTGAAGCAGAACTGTCTGGAAATCTCTTGCAAGCTTTGCATCCGGCCTGTATCATCGATCAATGAATAAACAACCAGCATAAAAGAAGAGAAGATTATGTTACACTCATCTTAAGTCAAGGATTTTGATTCGTTTTGTCTCTCGTCCAGTCACAAATTGCGGCAACAAATTGGGAACATGACCTCGAATGCGTTGAAGGAAGCAAGCAAAGTCGACCAGTGTTCCAGGACTTGCGGACACTCATGTTGATTTGGAAAACGAGCAGTGCCTCAAGACCTGGATGAGTCTGAAGACGAACAAGCGATGGTGGAGATATATGATGTTAGACCCGATGGTTTCCTTCCCCTAGGTACGTACAGTACATCAACTATAGCTAACTGTTTTCAGCCAACGGGAACCCTCAAGTACCCGAACCCTTTACCTCTTGCAAGCCTATGGTGATGGACCTTTGTTTTCTTTTTCCGAGTTTGTGGTTTGAGATAAGAACCTCAAACTTGTTTGTAAAGTCGGCTCTTACAAGTTTGTGATAAAAAACGGGGACATAAAAGAATGGTTTGTAAACGGAAAGAATGACGCTATTGTAGTTCCTGTTGGAGGTCAGATACAAAAAGCAGAGGGGTGTTTGGCATTTGACACGAGCTTTTCTCTTTTCAGAAATATGTTATGCTGCTACTGGTTCCTTTACTGGCTTGGATATCATGTAACTTATTTCGTTTTTTACCTTTGAACTGCCAGGACAAGTTAGTGTGACCACAATCTAAACTTCTTTCTGAAGTACAAGGAAGGACAGCTAAATTTCCTTATTCTCTTTGGAGTACCTGAGATAAAAGAAGAGCAAACTGCACCAGCTATACCAGGAAAAACACAAACAAGAAACCAAATACTACGAAGAGGAAATGCTAGAGTGAAAATTCAGAAGAAAAGCTTGGTTGTGTGATTCTATGCAGCGAACGTGGAATTATATACACAAATGGCTGGCGGCTAGCCTTGCAGGATGAATCAATGCGAGAGCACCGAGGTGGTCTCTCGGTCAACCCCGAAGAATACCTGGTCCGAGTGGACGAGAGTGCTCCAAACTGCTGCTGTGCTGATTGGAAGGAGCAAGTCTTGTACTGGGTGAGTCTAATAACGTTTACATACTCCTTTTCTATCGACACAAGATCTGATCAAACCCTGTGATGGTCTCGTCAAAGGCTCGGATTGATGTCTTTTTTTCAAGTCGTCATTTTCTTTCATGTTGAAATGTCCACTAAGTAAAGTTAAGAAGCGTGGCCGACCTGGATCCCCTCTCACCGTCCTCCTGGATGATACAAGCACTCAGCAAGCTCAGCCTCGACATGAGATCATCGCAGCCTGCAAACTTGATCTCGATCAGTTCCTCCGCCTCAGCAAGCCACCCCGACCTCGCGAACAGGTCCACCAGGCACCGGTAGTGATCCAGCTTCACCTCCATCCCCCTATCATCTCTCATGGACCGAAAGTTGGCGAGGCCCTCGCCAAGCAACCCCGCATGGCTGCAAGAGAAGAGCACGCTGAGCAAAGTCACCGAGTCTGGAGCCAGTCCCACCTGGTCCATAGCCCACAAAACTTCGAGCGCCTGCCTCGCGAGGCCCAGCTCCGCGTAAGCTCCGATCATGGAATTGAAGCTCACCGCGTTCCTCTCCTCCATCCCGTCAAACACTGCCCGGGCTTGCTCCACAGCGCCGCACCTCCCATACATGGTCACCAGCGCCGAGCCGACCATCAAGTCCGAGTAGAACCCCATGGCTAGAACTCGAGAGTGGAGCTGGCGTCCCGCTCGCAAGCTCGCCGTCGTAGAGAATCCCCCAAGCAAGCTCACGAACGTCAGCTCGGTGGACCTCACCCCGTCCTGGTCCATCTGCCGGAGGATCGCCACGCAAGTCACGCTGTCACGCTGCTGGGCGAAAGCTGCGATGAGCGCGTTCCAAGTCGAGCTCTCCCTCCACACCATGGAGTCGAACACCTGCTTTGATTCCGCTGGGCTCCCACACTTGCCGTAAGCGTCCACCAGTGCCGACTTTAGGCAGTCGTTCTCCAGTCCGTCCTCGACAATCCTGGCATGAACTCTCCGGCTGTGTTCCAGGTCCCCCAGACCCGCAAAGGCGTCGACCACGCTCACGAAAGTCACCTCGTTGGCTCTCACGGGCATTCTCTCGTAGAGCTCGACGCACTCCCGGTACAGTCCCTGCTGAGCGTAAGCTGCTATCAACGCGTTCCAGGAGACCACATCGTTCTTCGAGGAGATCTTCTCGAACACCATCCTAGCAGCGCCAAAGTCAGCACACTTCCCATACATAGTGACCAAAGCCGTCGCCACCACCAAGTCTCCATCAAAGCCTTCTTCGACCACACGGCTGTGGACTCGCGTGCATTCTCTCGGGTCCAGCAGCCCAGAGCACGCACTAATCACGTTCACGTAAGTCACAAAGTTGGCCTTCACACCGTCCAAGTCCATCTTCCGGAAGAGAGCAAGTGCCCCGCTGTAGTCCCCGTTGACGGCATATGCAGCGATCGCAATCGTCCAGGAGTAGACATTGCACGTCTTGATGGAGCTAAACACCAGCCATGCCTTGTCCAAGCTTCCACACTTGCCATACATCTCCACCAAGCAGTTCAGGAGCAATCTTTCGGGACGCTGCCTCCATCTCTCGTAGATAGTTGCATGAAGACGTTCCCCCTCAGCCAAAAGCTTGTAGTCTCCACACTTAAGTAGCAAATGCGCGTAAGTCTGAGCGCCTTCGTCTACCCCTGCCTGGACCAGTCTGTCTACTTGATCCCTGACCTTCCCCTTCTCAGCCTCTATTCTTCCCTGCTCGCTTAAAAACTTGTAGTCCCTTCTGGAAACCAAGACCAGCTCCCAGATTTTGGAGCACGTAAGCTTCACTGGATTACTTCGTCGCCTGTTTAGAATTGCCAACATCAAGAAGATCAGTCACAAAAGAATCGTGGGATACATCTCACCGGTAAGCTGCAAAGGAAAAACCCTGCTTCTGCTCTTATTAGAAGTCTCAAAATACAACGCTCTATACCTCAAAGAACTGTTTATTTACTAGGATATACCAGAATCAGCGACAGTCGAAGTAGCTCTCCAGGGTGTTCGTTTCAAGGACGTTGGACGGCATGGATCCCAAGGGTGCTGGAGATATGAGGAGCTCGTGGTGTATGTACCGCTGCAAACTAACCGCGTCAAGTGGGAGAACAGATGAGAATGAACTTACAGCCAGCTGATTAACAATGTCTACCGACGTATCGATGTGCCAGTCAGGCTCGAGTTGCCTCACGAAGGAGCACCTCCCAGCCTCGGAACTGCAAAAGAGTACCTGAATTCAAAGCACCAACTCAGTGAAAAACCTTTTGCCAAAAGTACTTCGGCTTCACCTTGTTACGGTTGAAGTTTGCTTTGCTGAACAGGCCGATCTGATCCAACGCGGCGAGTATTGCTTCCTGCACAGATATCTGTGAGCAGCGAAGATACACATCCATACACACACCTCGCTTGCATCATCGTTAACTCTGGACATCAGGTAGAGATCGCAGCACTGGGCCAGTTCTAGGAGAACGTCAGCTGCCGCTGGTCGCACCACAGCATGATTCTGTTAGCGAGAACTTGACGATTGTCAAACACGCCTAAACTTTCATCGTGAAAAAAGCTAAACTCGGAGTAGAATGCAAACTCACAAGGAGGAAGCTACCTCGAGATCAGCAGTCGAATTTTCCTGAAGCACCACTCCAAGTAGTTGGCAAGTCACCTGGTCACGAATTTCACCATGTCAACACAGAAGAAAAGATATAAACTTCGCTACCTTTCGTCCACCTTTGAGCTGGCGCTTCACCGACTGAGCCAAAGTGAGCTAAAAGGAAGAAGAGAGCGCATTGTCACTACACAAAGAAGAAGGAAACAATTTTTTTTCTAGCTTACCTTTGATAAAGGAGCCTCCTGGATGGCCACTCCACGCTGCCTGGCTTGTGATCCACGGGACTCAATCGCAGTGGAGCTGCCAGAGGTGGAGTCCGAAGAGGATGAGGAGGGAGCCTCCACTTTGACGGTGGGCTTGGGACGACGAACTGGATTGGAGCTTCTCATGTACCTCCAGGTACACACCAGAGCTATGGCAAACCCTGCGATTGCCCCGATGGAGCTAGCATCCTACAATTTCCCCGAGCTAAGAATCGGTGTTCTTGAGAGCAAAGCGCTGCTCTTACCTTGTGATGCATGAGAAAGGAGACTAGAGCTGACATCTTCTTGCTGGCAGCTCGGAATATCTGCGCGAGCTCCTCCAGCACCTCATTCGCCATTCCGATGAGCTCCCAGATCGATCGCGCCCTGCGTTCTTCGCTTGCATCGAAAACCTAGACTCTCGATCCAGATCTTACCTCGCGATTTCGGAAACTCTCGCGTCGACCGGCTCAGCGCCTCGAATTCCTGGCACCACGCGCCTTGCCGCAATCGCGCCCTTCGATCACGCCATAGCCCACTGGAAGGAACAAATATTCCTCCGCGACTCGGTTAGAATGACTGAGATGGTATATTCTAGAGACCTCGACGGAATGTACGTTGGAAGAAATTAGGGTTCTTGGGCACGATGGACGACGTCGTCTTCAGGTATTCGCTTCCTTCTTTTGATTCGATCGATCCCATTGAATCCATCCATCGAAATCTCTCGCAGCTGTGTGTGCTGTGGCGCGCTTCTCAATCTCGATCCTTCCAACGTCTACCCTGCCGATACGTATTTCGAGGCCGGGAACAAGGGGACGATCTCCTTCACCGCCATCGACGACACGAAATTCAGGCAAGAGCGCGACAAGAGGATTTTCCCCTTCTTCGAGACGATCGATCACTGGGGGATCCAGCGCGACCGGATCAAGCTGCTGTGCATTTCTTGCGGGAAGCTCGTTGGCTACATTTACAAAGATGGGCCGGCCATCACCGACAATCCAACAGGGCAGTATGGATTTGGGCCGAGCCAAGTAGTTCCTCGACTTCCAAGGTATCGACTCAAGATCAAAGCTTTGCATCAATCCAGGGCCGGAGCAGCAGCACAGCAAGGAAAGTAGCTCTAGAGAAATCGTTATAGCTCTTCGAAACTTCCAAGGAGAACTTCGGTGATCTTCACTTTGTGGTGCTGGTGATGATCAAGGCTATTTGGAAACTTACTTTGGCTTGAAGAGAGATCTTTGGCCGACGCATTAGAAACTTCCTGTAGAAGTCCAGGAAGAGCTTTGGTGATCTTCAGTCCAAGAGAAGTCTCCTCTAAAGCTGGAGAAAGAAGAGATCAGTTCTATGCCCGTCCTGAACGAGAATCTCAAACCTGGTGGTGATAGGGGCGATATCTTGCTCCGGAAGAACTTTGGTGATCTTCACGCAGTACCTCCTGTGGGGCTCTACATGCGATTCTCGGATACAGCCGATATGTGCTCCACACTTCTTACACCGCAGCTTGGATGTTTCTCTCCGGCGATTTTTGACAATGCTCCAGCTCCAGCTCCAGCAGTACGTGGTAGCCTCTTCCAACTGGAACCGGCTGTCATCGATGTCCACGAACACCAGAACTTTCTTTCGGCTGAAGCTTTCGTATTTGCTCCCCCTCTCCTGCACCAAGCGATCCGACGAGCTTAGCTTCAAAGCAAATCCGCAAGCTCCACAGCTGAAACGAGAAGGATCAAAATGCCGTCCTCCAGAAAAAAAATTCTTCACGAACCTGTAGCTGACATCTCGTTGGGACTTGGACAGAGAAGGCTGCCACACTCGATCCTCCATGCTGCTGAGCCGCCTAGGCTCGTCTCCTTCCTCTGTGCTAGAGCTGACCTTCCAAATAGAAACTTCCGCGTAAGTCTAGTTCATGTAAGGCTTATCTCGAGTTTTGGGACGACTAAGTCTCGGTGGATCGCTCGCGCTGATTATTCACAGCAAAGAATACTGTACACATTTGTCCACCACATCGCTGGCTCTGATAGAGAAACGCTGGAAAACAAACCAGAGAACACCCTTTAAGCTACAAACACTATGAGGATCACCAAGAGTAAGACGCCAAAGAGGAAGACCAACAAACAAGTCTGCGGAAAAACAAAGGTAAAGTTGCCAATCAGAGGTAAAAAAGAGATCAAACTTACCAGAGATGTTCCGGACTTTTGACTCTCCTCGGCTCTTGACAAGTGCCGCCTCGCATCGCGAGTTAGAGCTTCGGAGCTATCCACATTTGTCTCGACCTCACCTATACAGCAATAAAACAACAAAGGTTTTGATACCACAACAAGTCTTGCAACAAATCCTCACCTATAATGTTGCCTTGCTCTCGCACCAAAACAGCCAGGTCGGAAAAAATCTCATGCACTTCTCCTATTTGATTTTGGATCTCTCTTATGCTTTCTTCTCGCTCCTCGATGATGGTTTCATTGAACATGACTTCGTTCTCCAGACGCAAGACATCTTGCCTGCATCAATCAGCCAGTTCAGAGATGAGAGAAAGAGAACAGACAAGTAGAGTACCGTCTTTGCTCGACTAGCATAGCTCGATCCTCTCGACTCTCCTGTGAAGTAAGGTTTAGCTCACCGGCTGTGTAACTATATGGAATAAGAAGCTGGAAATCAGAAACTTGGTTGACGTGATGAAGCAAGTACCTCGAAGGAAGAACGGCTTCAGGGACGAACGGTGTATACGCTGCTTCCCATTCGGCAGCTTTCTTCTGGACTGCTTGAAAGTCCTGCAGAACCGCCTGGAAATCTCTTGCAAGCTTTGCATCTTCGTATTTCTTGCTGGCCTGTATGATCCATCAACGAGTAAAGAAAAAACCACAAAGGAGAGAAAAGATCCTACACTTCCTGGAACACTGTGGTCGATTTTGCTTGCTTCCTTCAACGCGTCCGAGGTGTCCTTCACCATGTTCCCAATCTGTTGCCGCAATTTGTGACTAGACAAGAATGAAAATAAAATCACAGCATGAACGGAAGAACAAAGTTCTTTTGACTTACAGCTGCTTGCGTCCTTCAACCGTGTCTTTGGGAGTTCCCAAATTATTGACGAGCTTCTTGAAGGCGGACACTCTTGTGTTGATTTGGAAAACGCCGCTCGACAGCAGCGACGTAGCCCGCTGTTGCTTGCTCGGCGAAGGCCCTTCATTGGATTCTATGTCCTGATAGCTCATGATCCCCGAAAACCCCTAGCGCCCAAAAATCCTCTCCTTACTCCCCAGCCGCGGCCGGGCCGCTACAATCTTAAGATCTAGGCTATCTAGCACTTACGATCCACCAGCGCGCGATCGCGTGCTTGAACAACAATGGCGTGCCCGACAATGACGTGACGCCCTAAAAATAAGCCTCTAATATTCTGCCACGTGGCAATAAAGAACAAAAAAAAGATCACTCTCGGTGGGACTCGAACCCACAATCCCCGGTTGTTGGTCTCGCAGCTTCGAGCGGGATTTCTCGCCTTAGGTCGGGCCATGCAAGGTGGCGACTGAGGTACGGAGAGCGTGAAGCTGCATGTGTCGGAGGTTCTTGGCGACTTGAGTCGTGGAAACACGACCAAGTCATGGGAACTTTGTTGACTGGTGGAGGACAGTTCGGGACGTCATCCCGACATAGCGAAGTGTCCGCGGTGGATGGACGTGGAAGACACTATGGGCGCATTTTTGGATCTAGTGACAGGGAAGTGCTGTCACAAAGGGGGCCAGTGGCGGATGGCCGAGTTGGTTTGCTCGCGGAGGGGATCCCACATGGTTCTTGCTTCAGGGCTAGTCCTTTGAGGAGGTTCGCGGAGGCTTGCAAGTCTTGTGATTGTCGCGATGCCGGCAACGGGGGCTCGTATATCATTGAAGGGGGCCAGCGCACTTGTCTAGTGTGGGAGGCAAGGTAGCACGCTCTAGTCTAGAGCTGGAGGAGGCTCACACCTTGCTTGTTCTACGCCTTGGAGTTTGTTCGCAATGGGCACTGACTTAGTGCTGGAAGTACACTGGGGAGGTAGGCGCTCCAAGACACAGCATCACGTCTTGGGGCGTAACAGGTGGCTTCAGCTTGTGCAGTGGAATCACCTTGGAGGCGAGTGACCTATGAGCGATGCCGGGTCATCGTGCTCGAGTTGGACTGCTTGGCTGCGACGACGTCGAGCTAGATCGACATGGTGTTCGTCCGGCTTGACATCATTGTGACCGAGTGGAGGAGTGGCGAGGCGAAGCAGGTGGCTTCAAGCTCCGCAGTGGAGTCACTTGGGAGGTGGACGGCCCAAGAGTGGCGAGGCGAAGCAGGTGGCTTCAAGCTCCGCAGTGGAGTCACTTGGGAGGTGGACGGCCCAAGAGCAGCGCCGGGCGTTCGCGCTCATAGTTTCACTAGTTTCTTCGAGAGTGCGCTCTCAATGTTGTTTTGATCCCTAAGGGACTTGGAGAAATGTACATACACGTTGCATCGAACCCACAATCCCTTGATTAGAAGTCAAATGCCTTATCCATTAGGCCACGAGAGCCAATGGCAAACAATTTTGAAATGTGAGGTATATATAGAAAGGTATTTGACATTAGAGAGGTATTTGAAAGTTTTAGCGGGAAATTCTCCTCTCTCTAGGGTTCTTTGTTGTCGCCATGGAAAATGTGCCGCCCATCTCGCAGCTCGATTGCCCGGCGTCGTGGCGGCTCTACTTCGCAGGAGTGAGCTACGATCCGGAAGATCGCAGAACGAAGCTCTTTGGCGATCTGGTGGAGTTTTTCCGGTGCCAATCCGGCCAACAACTTCTTTCCAAGGTGATTCTAGGGTAGCGTTCCAGAAATCGGTGGAATCAACCTCCATTACCCTATCAGGTGCAGGAGAACGACGACATATTCGTCCTTCCCCTCGATTTCGTTGCTCTCAAGGCGCTGTGCCAGAATGAAGATCTTGACGCGGCACTGGAGGCCGTTCCAAGCGAGGGAATCTCGTGCTTGGGAGCTGCTGCGTATGAGGTATGGCTTTTCTTCCTTCTTTCGCGGATGTGCTTGAATTGTGACTTGTAGCGTGTTACTTTTTAGGTGCTCTTTTGTTCTGGCAAGAAAGTCGACGCCTCTGGAAAAGTTCACATTCGACTATACAACCATCCGGACTCCATGCTTGCTCTCAAGCATCTAAAGGCCGCATATATTGGTGAGATAGATTGTTCTTCTTGCTTAAGATGTTTTTGGTGAGATAGATTCCTCTTCTTTGCTTAAGATGTTTTTGTGGGCTTTGCTAGGAAGGCTGGTTTCCGTTCGTGGCACTGTGGTGCGAATGAGTATGGTCCGGCCATTGGTAACGCAAATGAATTTCGTCTGTGCGAAATGCGGCTCTGTCATCCACTGTACTTTCACCGACGGCAAGTATTCACCGCCGACGAGTTGTGTCCTTCATGGATGTAGGAGTAAGAACTTTACACCGAAAAGAACACAGGTCGGATGCATCGACTTCCAAAAAATAAGGTACTTGTGGTCAAAGTTTTTGGGATTAGTTTGCTATGGTTTTTTGAACAGGTTACAGGAGTTGCATGTTGGTGAAGGCTACGAAGAAGGAAGAGTGCCGCGTACTGTGGAATGCGAGCTCACGGAGGACTTGGTTGATGTGTGCATGCCCGGTGATGTCGTGACCGTGTGTGGAATAGTGAAAGTTGTCAACACTAACGTCGATGTGGGTGGTGGTAAGCACTGTAAATACCGTAGGCCGAGTTTTTCTTATCTTGGTTTCTCTTCACAGGCAAATCGAAAAACAAGACACAGTGCTTGTTTTATCTTTACATTGAAGCGATCTCTGTGATTAACTCGAAAAACGAGAGCAGAAACTCTGACAAAGAAAAACATCCTGATGCAAGGGCTGCAGCACCACCGAATGCACAGCAGTTCACCAGCCGGGACATGGAATTCATTGTCAAGTTTGCGGAAGAACATGGCTCAGATCTTTTCCGGCAAATGCTGCACTCAGTCTGTCCGTCTATCTACGGCCATGAACTCGTGAAAGGTAGTGTTATATGCTTTCAATTGCAAAGAGTTTTTTATGTTTCTTGCAGCTGGTATCACACTGGCACTATTTGGAGGGGTCCAAAAGCATGTCCAAGATGAAAATAAGGTACCGGTGAGGGGAGATATCCATGTCATCATAGTCGGTACGCATTTTTTGTCTCTTTGATTGCTTATCCCACTGTTTTCTCTCACTCACCTAAACAGGAGACCCTGGTCTTGGGAAGAGCCAACTTTTGCAAGCAGCTGCTACGGTGGCTCCAAGGGGAATCTATGTTTGCGGAAATACAACAACGACCGCGGGTCTCACTGTAGCTGTTGTAAAAGATGCAATGACAGGCGATTTCGTATTTGAAGCAGGTCCAGTTCCCTTTCGCATCTCCTTTCATAGAAAGCTTTTTTATTTGCAGGAGCTATGGTTCTTGCGGATAGGGGGACATGTTGCATTGACGAGTTTGATAAGATGACAGCAGAACACCAGGTAAATAGCTGATTCTTACGATGCATTCTTTATGTTTCTTTTTTATAGGCTTTATTGGAAGCAATGGAACAGCAAAGCGTGTCCATTGCAAAAGCCGGTCTTGTTGCCAGCTTGTCGGCGAGAACTTCTGTTCTGGCTGCCGCCAATCCTGTTGGCGGACACTACAAGTACGATCACGAAATTATTGGCATCAGTTAATGACTTCTTACAGTCGAGCAAAAACAGTCAATGAGAACCTCAAGATGAGCGCTGCTTTACTTTCGCGCTTCGATCTGGTCTTTATTCTTCTGGACAAGCCCGATGAGGTTTTAGATAAAAGACTATCAGAACACATTATGGCGGTATGCACTCACCCGTTTAAATTCCGTGGTTACTAATTCTTTGTTCTCATCAGCTTCACGCTGGCTCTGAAACACGTTCCAATGCTTCCAAACAATCACGTAACACACTCTCTTGAAAGTAGTACTTAACATCTATTGATAGTGTTGCAGCACAATGCAAATTTGCTGCAGAGTTTGGACTCGGACACATCGCTTGCAGTGAGACTCAAGCAGAGTCCCGACTTCACACCCTTACCGCCACCCCTTCTCCGCAAGTACATTGCTTATGCAAAACACTATGTGTTTCCGAGGTAAGTTTTGCCTTCGGTTGTTATCAAGTAAACCGAAATCTGTTTTGTTTTAGAATGTCAAACGCTGCTGCAGATGTTCTGCAAAAGTTCTACTTGCAACTTAGGAGCCACAGCCATAGTGCCGACGGCAGTCCCATCACCGCAAGACAGCTCGAGAGCCTCGTGCGGCTGGCAGAGGCTCGAGCCAAAGTTGAGCTGCGGGAAGAAATAACCGAGCAGGATGCTAAGGTGGCAATAGCTTGCATCCGTTCTTACAGAAAGTACTCGACTAACTTTCACCTTCTTGCAGGACGTGGTGGAAGTAATGAAAGAGTCACTGTACGATAAGTTCATGGACGAACACGGCTGCGTTGATTTTGGTCGAAGCGGCGGGATGAGCCAGCAAAAGGAGGCCAAGCGCTTCCTCAACGCTCTCCAGCGCAAGTCGGACCTCCAAGAAAAGGCCGTCTTCAATGTTTCTGTAAGTCTCCCACTTCCTGATCCTCTAAACAGACTTTGGCATTTGTTTCTATTCTCAGGAGCTGTACGTAATTGCCGACGACATAAGCTTAAACGTTCCAGACTTGGAGATGTTCATCGAGAACCTCAACAATGCTGGCCACCTTCTCAAGAAAGGTCCAAGATTGTACCAGGTAAACACAAGCTCGAGGGAAAAAAAAGGATTTTTACCGGCTTCTGGAACAGGTTACATCGTCCTCATTTTCCAGCCAGCGCAACAAGTAGAAAAAAAAGGAATCTCGTCCGACCTGCCGGAATCGAACCAGCGACCTAAGGATTTCTGAGAAACTACAGTCCTCCGCTCTACCAACTGAGCTAAGGTCGGAATCTGAAGGTGAATCAAAATTCTGACACTATAATTCGTGAATCGATTAAAAAAAGGTTTTTTTTTCAGACAATTCACTTATATCCTGTTTGGAACTTTCAGAAGAGCAGCGATGCCCAGGCAGCAAGGAACGAAGCTCCACCAAAAGGCGCCAAAAACGCATACTTGCGGTTCTCTAGAATCGCTACAGTGTAGCAGCTGCCACAAAAAGTAAGAGCTCTCTCATTCCCTCCTCTAGAAAACAATCCAAGCTTACGTTCCAGAGAAAGCGACGATTCCAAACGATAGAAGACCACCAAACTGCGAAAGCGGGGACAAAAGATGAAAGAACGAATCGATCGATCGAGAGACTTACGACGTGAGGATGCTTGGCAACTGGAGCCGCGACCAGCGCCGCCGTGTGCATCAAATGATACAATGCCGCGGTGTTGTAAACCTTCGCAAAACAAAAATTCGCGAAGAAATTCGAGCAAAGCCAAAAAACTCCTCCCATACCTCCTTGTAAACGGGATTCTTTGGCTTGTACATATGCGATCCATACGTTCCAAGCCCCACGGCGGCCATTCCTGCGAGAAAAGGGGCAAAATTCGTCGCTAAAATCGACCCACAAGGGGAGAAAGCGCTCACCGGAGAATGCCGCTACCTTATGCCACACGGTCGGATCCATCGCGCGCACGTATTGCGACACGGACGCCGTGAATCCCTCCTTCTTGCGCGCTTGAGCTCCAAGAAGAAGCTCCTCTTCTCCCTCGTTAGCTGCCATTTGAGCCAAAACCCTAAAATCACCACTAGTGCCACGTCAGCTCACACCTGGCGGTAATTGTCATCCATGTCATACACACACACACACGATTCACACACACTAGATTCATTCATTCCCACGTCTAGGGCTTTAGCGGGAGTCCGTGGCGTGGTAGCGAGCGCCACGCAATTCCTCCAGGTGAAATGGCTGCCGAGACGTCGATTCTCGGGGTAGAGAAGCAGTCGCTTAGATTGAGAGGCCTTCATTGCGAAGGCGCGGCAAGAATCGGGCGCGGGATTAGAGGGAGAGGGATTCCAGATAGCGGTAGGGAGCTCGTTGTGTCGATCGAGCCATTGTTTTTCGGCAGGATCATGACGATCGATTCGATTAGGATACACAACGCGCCACTCCAGGGGGGGAATTTCATCCGTAGTAGCAGGAATTTTGCAGCGCCTTCCTCGCGGCTGAAGATCGCAAGCACGAAATTCAGTCCAGGGAGGAGATTTGTGGATAGAGATTTTAGCGTGCGCGCCTCGGCATCGGCCGGTCCCGGACAAACGCAGAACGGGTAAACAATTTTCTTTTCCTTTCATTTCTTTGCTCATTGGTGCTAGTTTTGGAGTTTATTGACTCAAACGTTATGTGTTTTGGATGACTGATATTGTTTTGCTAGAGGTGGAGAGAAGGCATTGCCTGTGAAGCCCGATCCATCGGTATGATTAATTTCCCTCCTCTGTAAGAAGTTATGTTTTTTTTTCCTCTTCTTTCGCTGAAATTTTGCGGGTTTTATTTCGTTTGCAGGTAACTCCTGACGACGTTGTGCTAGCTCAACTCAAAGCATTACGAGAGCGAGACCTCGCGACTGTGTAAGCTGGTGAAATTTTCTTTTTTTACTGAATGTTCATTTCGTCTTTTCTAGATACGAGTTTGCCTCCCCGGCAAACAAGAGCCACACTGGTCCGCTCCCGAGGTTCACGCAAATGATGGAGAGAGCTTACAGTGTAAGTCCTAAAAATACAGCAACTTAGTGATCTTCTTATCCATCTTGTGGGATCCAGCTGATGATTGGACATAAGGATGCTCGGATTCTCAGCTCGATGACTATAAGCCCGAATAGATTTCAGCAGGTACCATAAACTAGTGCTTTCTTCAGTCATACTCTTTCACAATTTTGCAGCGCATTGTCATTACGGGTGCCAATGGGAAGAACGCAACTTTCTCTTGGGCATTATCAAAGCAGGTGGTCTGTCAAAAAGAGAAAACGATCTTTCTGAAGACTTGCTTTTCTTTTTGCAGGAAGAAGGTGCTCATGAAGGATGCTGGATGACAGACACCGTGAGGCGGGACGATTGAAATCACACGCTAGATGGGAACTAAAAATAAAAGCTACTCTGAAAATGAAGCTGGTAAATCTATCCTATCTTATTCGCAGATCTGGTACTGCTTATTCTACTTCTTTGAGTAGTTTTTCTCGCAGCAAGAGCTAGAACAAGAGCCACTGCTCCTAGCAGCAGAACGCGTCCCGGAGGTCGTCCAGCTCAAAACTGGAATCGGCATCCTCGTCCAGGTCTTTCAAGAGCTGGGAAAGATGTTCGTCGGGCTCGTCTTCGTCGTCCACGATCGGGGCGGCCGCCGGCATGACGTGGTAAATCACTCTGTGGGTCGTTTCAAAGAAGTTGCTGGCATCGATCAGCTCCATCATCTTCTGGTACGCGTCCTTCAAGGCCAGGCCCCCGGCGCACACGGCCTCGCGCACCTATGCGGCGGCGATCCAGTTCCAGGTCTCGACGCTAGAGAAGATCGCCAGCTCCAGGAAGCCCGACTGCGATGACAAGGGCGACCACGGCGACGGCGACGAGGAAGAAGATCGCTACGACAGCTCGAAAGAGCTCGTCAAGGACGTTTGACCCAGAGTGGCGTAGAAGCCCTTTGGCACCGACTCAATGTTGCGGAAGCCCGTGTCATCGTCCTCGAAGATGAATCTTACCACGGCGTAGTACTTGCTCTCCGCTTTCCTCCGCTTGCTGCCCAGGCTCTTGGCTGCCAAGAACCCTAAAAGTGTGACGTCAGTTCAATCTTTGCCAACTTCTGGGCTTCCTTTTTTTAACGCTCTAATTTACACTTTTTTCTAAAGGATAAAAGACGTTTCTATTAATTTAACAAAAGTGATTTCCCTTTTGATTTCTTTTCAGCAGTGAGTTAATAAAGAATCGGCTTGGAACGGCCCTTCTAGGAGCTATAGAACACCAGCTTATGACAACTTTGAAAGAAGCCAGAAGTTCTGTCGACAATTTAACTTTTCCAGCTTCGAATGTGAAACAACCAGGGAGCGAACCTTAGACCAGCTCAATCCCCCAGGCCCATGGACTATTCTCAAAATATTCCCGTGGTTCGTGTCAGAATGGGTCCTAAGTTGTCTCTTGGCTTGCTTCTACAAGTATCTGGCGGCAAATGAGCTCGCCAACCGTCCCTGGAATCCCACTCTAACACGGCACAAGTACGAGTGTATCGCCACAGGACACTTGACAGCCTTGTACCCGTGGTTTGGATCGTCGGGCGGAGGGAACTCGAGCAACTAAAGGGAATTTGGCGATATCATCCGAACGAGTTTGGATAGCTTAATCGCGCTCTTCCCGGGATGTGTCCAGCTTGAGAACCGGCTAAAACTCTACATGCTTTTCTGGTTTGTCACGCTTGAGCGTTCCTCCACAAACAAATCTCGTTCGAGGAGCCCTAAGAGATGGTGACGCGTGGCGGCTGCCTCTCGCTTAAACGGCAATTTCCCCATTTCGACCACTTTCATTTGTTTGGCTCCCATAAAGAGGCATGACTTTCCCTCTTTTCTATTTCTATTCCTCTCGCGATTCCCGTTGCATTCGCAGCGTACAGAAGCTAGATCGCCGCTCGCCTATAGAATCGTGGGCTCGCGGCATGGGATAGGGATTAGAAATCTTTGGGAGGAGGTTTGGACGATCCATGGATCGGCGCGGAGTGATCAGCTGCTTTACGCGGACGTCTCCGGCTAGGGACTCCACCTCCTCGGTACTGCTACTGCTCGGCAGTGATCAAAATCTCCTCCAGCAGCTTCAAGGCGAGGATCATCGCGACCAGCGTTGGCGGCAGTATTGCAAGAGTCTCGATGATCAAGAGGAGATGGCGGGCGGCGATCAGGACGAGGGGCCCGACGATGCCGGGAGGCCGCCAAAGTCGTGCTTGCCGACGGCATTCTTTAAGTCGTGGCCGCTCCTTTCTTTGCTCCTCGCCAAGCGGCTTTGGCCAGGGTTGGATTCTTCCCCCGAGAACAGGAGGAAGAACAGCACGCCAGCCTCTAGTCATGATCAGGCCCGGGATTCTTCCAGCAGCCAGGCGGCGATCGTGGCCAATGCCGCGGTGTGGAGGATCATGGCCAAGAGGATCGTGAGCGAGGTCCATTGCCGGAGGCGGCGAATGGTCCGGCAGATGAGCGGCGGGCTCATGGCGAGGAAGAAGGGGATCGATTTCGCGTACGACGAGGGGAGCTACGCCAAGAACTTCGACATGGGGCGCGAGAATTGGATCAAAAGTGATCCGTGCTTGGCAGTGAGGAGGAGCGATGAGATTCAAGAGCACCAGGATAAACATGTGTGACTAGCGACATCTTTTCAAGCTTTTTAGTTTTTCAAGTTCAGTGGCACTCACAGGCTATCATGTTGCCCTCCCTGTGCTGCCAAAAGAATCCCTCGTGCCTGTTCCCTACTGATATAACAGCATGGGGCCACCATGCATTGGGTTTAGGTAATTCGAATCAAAATTACTATACTCTTTATGCAATTTAAATTACTTACTATAATTTTGAAAAACAATACTTTTAATTTTAGATACTAAATTGACGAGTTTAAAATTTACTTTACAAATAAAAAGGATAAAGGTAAACTTAAAGGGGCTAGTTGCTAATTCCACGCTATTAATGAGAGCAATCACTTCCAATCCAGAACATCCTCACGGATCACTCCTAGCATGTGCAAGTAACAATATCCTCAACGTAAGATGGTGCAAAAGGTGGTGAGAGTATTCTAGTGGTGATGATGAATATTACTGGATGAGAGTTATAAACTCAATCATGGTCATTGTTTTCATCACCACAAGAATATGGTAATAACCACTTTTTACTCTTTGGCATCACTAAATTACCAAGCTAAGCTTGGTTTGGCATTCATTCAGTCTATCTTGCATCATAAAAAATCTGGTTATAAAGTACAGAAAATTATATGAAATTTAATGACCTTAGAAAAGATGAGAAAGAAAAGATGTCATGCTTCTTCCATAGTTTTCATTGTCTATTTGTTATATATAGATTCTTTGTGAGGTTTCATATATACATACAATGTAGATATAAACAAGATTAACTTTGGTTGCCACTAAACCACTGATTATCTATAAAAGTATAAAACCCTCATAATCTAAAGATACCTCTCTTTTGCCATATTGAGGGTGCTTCTAATGCCAAATAGCTTTTGTGATTTTTTGTTTGTAGGTTTGAGCATAAGCTACCATCCTTCTGTAGCAAGACTGTCCTTTCACAGCAAGAGTGGGAGTATTATGAGTTTAGCACCAAACACAGTTACATAACATCACATTGCACCTTTAGTTAATAGAAAAATTTATTTAACTTCTAAATCATACATGTTTTTTATGCCTACCTAAAATAGAAAAGTCACAGTATGTATGCAGAAAGCGTGAAATAAAGTGTAAAGAACTAACTCCCCAAAGTGTCATAGGCTAAAAGATTCCTAAAAGCATGACCAAAATGATAAAAAGTTTATTAGATGAAATTGAGTTCAAAATCAAATCTGAGACCAAGTTTGAGACCGAAGTCTAAGATCTAAAATCGGGTCCAAAACAGAGTCCGAGATTGAGTCTGAAGTCGAGTTCAAGATTAAGTCCGAGATCAAGTCTGAGATAGAGTCCGAGGTCGAGTCTGAAATCGAGTCCAAGATTAAGTCCAAGGTTGAATCCGAGGTTAAGTCCAAGATCAAAAAGGTATTAAACCTTCAAAAGTGATGAAGGCAGAAATCTTTTTCTTCTTGGAGATTCTTTACAACCATGAAATTAAACTCAATAATAATAAAGTTGTCACTGATATTAATGCTTTTATAGAAAGAATATGATTTAACTGTTGAAAATAACTAGACTAAGAGGTGTTCTTAATCAATTGCAGCATCTTTGGTGTGGAAATCTAAACTATTTCCATAAACAACATCCAAGGACACAATGGTGATCTGGCTGCTAGAGGCACCTAATTTCTTGAGCATTACAAGAAAGTGTGGGTGAATGAAGAAACCATTGCTTGGCAGCCATGTTGCAATAAGGTGATCTATCTTCTTGAAACAAAAATAAAGGTTATTCTGAGAATATTCTTTTAGACCATAATTTCAAAGTATAAAGGGTAAAGGTTAAAAAGAGATTTACAGCTGCACAAAGACTTTTACCTTGGGAAAATTGGGGTACACCAAACATCATAGAGATCTAGGTGGGATCACAGGTTTGCCATCTTCCATCTTTTCTTGTACCACCTATCTAGATACCCAGATAACTTGTATGCAGTAGAGCCTTATTTGTATTAACGACTACGGTGTGTTGTCCTCCATGTAGCTCAGTTAGGCACTCGATTTTGAGAATATTCTTTCCTAATCTAGGTGCATTTTAATCCAATAGTTCCGCTAATTTATTTGAACCAATATTAGATGCAAAGTTTAGATTTTGTACTTTCTAAACAAATATACCGAAATTCTATTATTATTATTACAAGTTTAAGATCATTAGCATAGCAAAAGTAGGAAATATGAGATGACATAAGTCAGAATATTTGGGTTTGAAAAAAAGTCTTGATTAGTTGTACCTTAGATGTTTGACTTAATGTAGTGCAGATTATAAAAGGGCATTCTTTTACCTCATATTACCATGTAAGTATGGAAAGCAAAACATTTCTCTATTTAATTTTATTACTTGCAGTCATTCTGAAAAATGAAAATTTTTGTGCTGCCACTACAAGTATCAAAGTAGACGGCTATGTTTATTGCACTAACTGTGGTTCACTTTCTCAGAGTGGCATCTTCAGTAAGAAAATGATCTATCTTCTATATTTTTCTAATCTTGTTAAATTTTTCAGATGTCAAGGTAAACCTGGTTTGTCCAAGAGATAGTGATTCATCATTTACAAATAGTAGAGGATACTTTGATATCTTTGAAATAGTGAAGACTGGAACAGATATTGGGAGTTGCCAAGTGAATGTGGATACAAGTAGAGCACCACAAGGGTGTTCTTTCTTAACAGACATAAATGGTGGACCAAGTGGCCAATCCTTAAGAACATGCATCAATAATGGAAATAATAAGTTCACTTGTGGACCCTATTATTTTACTCCAAATGCTTGTTCACCTCCACCACCACCAAGAACTCCTCCTCCACCACCACCTAGAAGACCACCCCCACCACGACCAAGAACTCCTCTACCACCACAACCAAGAACGCCACCACCACCTAGAACACAACCACCACCACCACCTACACCACCACTATCACCAACTCCACCACCATTAGCACCACCCCTATTGTCACCAGCAGCACCAACACCTCCAACATTGGCACCAGAATCACCAGCATCAGCACCAGGCCCAGCTCCTACACCATCATCATTGCTATAAGTTCATAAACAATTTAACATAACAAAAATAATCATATTACCTTACTGTGCTGGGTTGAGTGATATGCTCTTATGTGATGATAGGAGAGTGGCGATTCTTTGCTGTCCTGCTTGTACTGTAGGATGTGGTGATGAACTTGAGAGAAAAAATGAAGGTAAGATTTTTTTTCATTTCATTCATTAGAACTCTTGATCTCTCTTGTCTAAACTTTGCATAGAAAACTCTACTCTAAACTTTATATGAAACCAAACACATGAGTTCATTGTAAGGAAATGAGTGGCTTTGTGTCTATGGCAAGACTAGCTGCTTATGAAAGTTTATAACTGTAAACATTTTTATAATTTATAAATATCCAGAAGATAGCTGTTCAAGAAAGTTTTTAAATTATAAAATATATTTATACTTGATTAATCTAAATGTATAACATACTTTAGATGGTATAATAAATAGTTCAAAAAGGTAACCAAATCCACACCGAAGGAATGCTTGCTAATCCATAGCAAACCAAATGTGTACCTACTCGGATCATTGCTTTGATCTCTACATATAGTATGAATAACTAATAAAACATAAATCTTTAGAAGATGGAATTTGGCTAGATACTTGAACGAAGAATGAGAGAAATCTTTTCCTTTAGGAACAATTAAGATATTGAGGCCCTAGAAGTACTTGAAAACACCTTACGTACCTGTGTATAGAAAATGAGAAGACAAGCTAGAAAGGCTCTTAAAACAAAAAGTTAAGTACCCACAAAGATTATAATTCCCAGCTCAATAATTTAAAAGTTGAAGAATATTATTCTAGGTATATTCCAATAAAGTTTATTTTTCTTTTTTTTTTGGAGAAAACACCGGAATATTGTACGAATCAAATTTCAATTTAAATCGATCCACTTTTCACGACCTAAGTACACAAAAAGCAGGACCTCTAAAACCGTGAGCAATGCAAGGTTTCCCTCCATATCCTTGTCCTCTTATTGCACCTGTAAGAAAACAAAGAGTCTTTGTAAAACACTTTCAAGAGGAGAGTTACTTACAGGCTGAGACTGATTGAATGCTGACAGTGAATGCACCAGCTGGTTCGCAGTAACCTTGGTATAAAGATTATTACTGTCCTCAGCGAACAAAAACTTCTAGATGAGCTGCAGGATGTTGAGACACTCGTCGAAGCTCTGGTATGGAGTGCTGAGCTTGTCGACCACCATCCGAAACAGACAGTTCTCACTGCGGTTGAGCCTCTTCCAAACGATCCTCTTAACAGCGGGCGAGTACGCAATGGCCAGCTTGATCCAGGGCACTGGAACTAGGAGGCGCTGAAACCAGTTCTTGGGGATCTTCCCCATGTACACAAAGACACAAGCACAAGCAATCCAGAAACGCTTACCTTCCAGGAGGTACCCTTACAACATGGCAGGCGCTGACCAAGAAAGTCCCAGAATCCAAGTGATGTAGATGTAATCCATGGAGAGATCGTACTGCGGCAGCTCCATCACCGGATATTGATTCGACACAAACACGCCCAGCTTGAGCAACAGCTTGTGTAGCGAAACCAAAGTCACTCGTAGCACTTGATGTCCCGGCACAGGAACACCCCTCCTCGTTCCGGATGAAGTCCCGGAACTGGACTGGATCCTCAAGGATGGCAGCCATCATCGGCATCACAGCAGCATCCACGCTATTGTAGGCATACGTCCCTCGCCCCATATCTTCCAAGTATGCTCATTTGCGCTGGTCATCAGCAAGCATGTAGTCGTGGACTGCGTCGATGATCTCGTCCGAAGGTTGATGCTCGCTTCTCTCTTTTTGGCATTGTCAACTGCACTTGAAAAGTTAGCCTCAACAGCCAACACACACACACACACACAAACACACACACAGGGGGAGGGAGAAAGAGAGAGGGCCTTGTTGAGCAGGCGAGAGCGAGAGGGAGAGGTACAATCACGTGGATGAAGACGGCCTTGTCGAGCAGCCGCCTCCACTCTTCTGGATCTGGATGATCCGCAAGCAGCGCTACGAGACACTCTCTGACGTCCTCAAGCTGCCAGGTAGTAGAAGCCATTGAAGTAGAAGATGTTTTTTGACATAGCTACTCGAACTTTGTAAAGGTATTCATTTCTTTTCAAGAGTGCTTTGTGTAGATCGTCTCATTTCGCCACTGCCAAATTGTAAATCTCCATCTAAGCTGGCCCTGGAACGTTGTTCTATGGCACCGTTGCAATTTCATGGCATTGCAAAAACAAACAGTTAGAGAAACCATAAAGACAACTAAAGAGAACATAGACTTCGAAGGTTGAAGCCTCTCCATAGGAATCCTGCTGTGCTGTTGTGTGCCTGCACAGTGTAAGCTTCTGGATCTCATCTGGCAATAGGATCTGTATGCATCCCACCATCATGTAAAACTCTTTTTAAACTTTGACTTCCATCTTGTTGAACAACACATATCCTAATTAGAACTTTTGTTGTGATTTTGTTATTTTTTGGAATGGTGGATTATTTCTTTGACAATGATAATACCTCTTTTTACTAATGGGATGATTGATAATTTTTTATGATGGTTAGTTGTTTTCTTTAATAGATTTTGGTTTTTTATATTATCACATATTCTTTGTGGTTTGCTCTGGATTGGTCTCTTAGATTTAAGATATCAATAGAATGTTAGTGATACTTTCTTAAGAAACTCAAGTTCCTTAATATTGTTGACTAAGACCTATTTAGATTAGCTCATGTGATAATTAGTATGAATGAGCATTTATTGGTTATTTTGCATTCATTTTGTTTTGTTACTTATTGCTATAATTAGTTTTGATAAATTAAATGTTATTTCCTTTGGGTGATACATCTGTAAACATTTTATTTGCCAGTTGATGATAATTTATATTCTTTGAGTTGTCTTTCATAAGTTGTTTAGCCTGCTATCTTGGTAATTACACTTTATTATTGAGTTTTCTTGATGATATATTTGCTATTAAATTTTCTTAGATGGTTAATCCTATAACTTTCACCTATAGTAATCTTGGTGGTTCCTATACTCTAATTTTAGTTTATTGGATGATAAATTACTTGGCATACTTTTGTGTTTTAATCTAAGATTTATTCACTGATAATTTGATCTCTAAAATATCATTGTCTCTAATTTTGATATTGTTCATCTTTTGATCTTTGGGTGTATGCCAATATAGGTAGATTAGCTTCTAGACTTTGTGTATATAGTGAAATCTATAGTTATGAGATAACTATTGTAGATTGATCATATCACCTGCCTCTCTCTTGATATTCTTTATTCTGTTAAAAGGGTGTAACTGTGTAAACAACTCTAACTGCTTATTTACAATAATCTATCTAAACTTTACCGATGAGTTTGGTTTCTTTGCTCATGAGGGTTAGAACCTTTGGATTCTCTCTCTATACCACCTATAAATAGAGGCATATGATCTTTTGTAACATGAGTGACACCTAGAGCAACAAGAGTGGCTAACTCCATTGGTCATCTCTTTGTTAGTGACGGCTAAAAAGGTGTTTAAGTTGCATTTGCATTAGACAAAGAGGTTACTTCTTAACTTATTTAAGTTCATATATAAAGTGTAAGCACTGTAAATTTTTTCTAAAGTTGTTTCCTTGGTGATAGTTAAGACTAGAGTATGCATCAATAAGGATGTTGATCTTCCCTAACGAGGGGGAAAGTGTCCTTAATGTGATTGTAGGTATCAAATGGTGTTGTGGAGGATAGTATTATGGGTTTGTATGGTCAAATGGTGTTGTGGAGGATAGTATTATGGGTTTGTATGGTTTTTCCATATTGGCATATTGATTCCATCTTTATTGATATCATTTAATTACATTTACTCTATAGTGTTGGATTACATTGAGTCTTAGATGTGGTGATTCACTCCTTGATGATATATTATCTGTAATTATATATTATCAACGGATTGGTGAGGGATTAGTCTACAAACAATCATTAGTCGTAAAACAACTAACAATCACTTTTCAACTTGCATTTCACAAAACCAAAACACTAAACTTATGCCATTAAGTTATATTTGTCCAACATGAAGTAATATCCTAAGTACTAGATATAAGAACATAGACAAGCACAAACTAAATGGGCACTTGAATCTAATCAAACTGCAATAAGCTCACTAACATATTTAGCCAATAACTCTAAGTATGCCTTGAAGAGGCTAGTTATGCATAATGAACACTCAATCAAAATTAAAATAAAGACTATAAGATGGATTCATATAGTACACAACCTCTTCATAGTATGCATACTAACACCTCAATCTCAAACAACTAAGTTGGATATCACTATCTTCAGCCAAAACACAAGGTTACCAAGACAAGTCAAAATCAATGAGAGTTCACTATAGAGTTTAATGAAATATAAAGTTCAACTTGCCATTTAGCATAACGCTACAAAAGAAAGGTACAAAGGTCATCTTTCTCGAAAAGTGTAGTAACCACTTTTTTATGCCAACTCTAGACTCTATCCAACTTAATTGTTTTAGGCCCAAACGTCAACATCTCTTTTAGGTTGCATTATACAAACTACATACTAAAGTCTAAGCTAATTGAAGTTAACTTAAACCCTTTCATTAGTTTGTAATGGTTTTTGAAAATGGAATGGTTTTCAAACAAAGTGATTAATAGATCAACTATTGGAAAAACCTAAAAAAATTTGTGGAAAATTTCCATTCTAGAAAAAAAATGAATATAAATTCTTATGACTCAACCAACTTCTTCCTATCTACAATTTCATAAAGATTCACCTCAACACTAATTCTCATAACCAATCAGTATGTCTAAGCATCAAACATCATGTTTATATTTATGAATCAAACACTAACATCCATATAATGCAAAATGAACATCTAAAACTCAATTATAAAAGCCATATTTTCAAATATCCACATTGCCCTAACATTTTTCTTCAATCACTTTCAAGATCTAGTATGAAGCAAAAATACTAAAAAGAAAAATGACATGAAAAATTATGGTCTAAGGAAAATTCCTTATCACTCGAAACAACAATATCACCTTCAGTGTTAGCAATGTTAATGCCTTAACTTCACATCTTCTCCATCCAACAATCTACTCTAAGTGCTAATAGATTTCCAACAAGTTATAGCAAATAAATGCCATAACCTTTTCCAACAACTAATAAGAAAATTTTCAAGAAACTAAAAATACCAACCTAAGCTTAGCATGAAATGGATCATTTAGAAAATTTAGTTAAAGTGACTACCATGCTACTTCTTATAAGTAGATTAGCTTCACTATCAACCACTTTGGGGTTGATTATTGTTTAAGTAAGCAACTTTGTAAGCACATTGCTCCTGATCATATAGATATGATATGGAAATCACAATGAGTGGATTATCAATCAAGTAACACCATGAATTAGTCTATATTATTACTTTAAAAGTTTATATGTGTCAAATGTTAACTCTATTCAACAAAAAACAATATAAATGCCACACCTCACTAATAAATATTTACAATATTGAACACCACCAATTTTGTTCACAACATAGACAAACTTATGCCACACTCTTTCTGACCAAACTCAAAACTAATTTTACACCAAATTACTTAAGAAACAATAGTAAAGTTTCCTGGAAAAGAATTAAGCATTGTAACCCAAGTTTTTAATAGCAAGCCTAGAAAAAATGGTTTAATGCTTCACTGTTATCCATCCTATAACTCACCATTTGTAAGATTATTATAACCAACATGCATCAAGATAGGAACTCTTGATTGCATAATATAAATACAAGCAATGAGTTAACACTTTATTACAAATCATTTTTTTAAGGAAAAAAAGATGATTTAAATGTTTGATCCTTCGTCCTTGATAATTCTCTTTTTGGTCTCAACTTAACTAAACCTTAAATTTCTATTCACATTGCCTTCAATCAAATCTAAGAAAAATTTATAAAAGAGCGCAATAATGACTACTTAAACCAATAGATTAATCCGTACAATCTTGATTAATCCACCTATAATCATGCCTAGGAAGAATTCACAAGTGCCATGCTAAACAACTATATACCAGCTTATTCGCCACTCATAGCAAACCCAAGGAAGGTTTACTTTTATTCACGGTACATAGAACCACTCATGGTAACCATCGATAAACTAATATTAATTCTGTCAATTCAAAATGTAACCTAATATGCTTCACACATGAGCCCAAGCACAAACTCATGCAAATGAAACATTTCAGTCTATTTTATGAGCCCAAGTGCAAGCTTATATAATATGGTACAAAAAGGTAACCAAATTTCGAACCCAAAGAAAGAATGCAAAGTCTCAGCACCCAAATGTATACCCACTTGAATCA